TATATATATATATATATATATATATATATATATATATATATATATATATATATATATATATATATATATATATATATATATTGGTTTCGAGATACCTGAAAATTTTATCTTTTATTCAAATTTCCAGCTATAAAAGCAATATTTGAATCAAGGAATGTTGAGGATCATTTCAATAATTGTACTTTGTAGTTAGGAACTCTGGGAGCTGGGAATCATTATGGTGAAGTACAAGTCGTTGATGAAATATATGATGAATACGCAGCCAGTAGAATGGGCATCGATAGACTGGGTAAATTGTTATTCTCTTCGGTATTCATTGTTTACAAATTATCGGTGAAGGAAGGAAAAGTAAACTGCATATTGAGCATAACAATAGCAATTTGAAGCTCAAATTTTTATTTTTGTGTATACTATGTTGTGGTGTACATTGAACTCGCGAATTCTTGGATGATCCTTTCTATAACTTACAGTTTAGGTCAGGTATGTGTAATGATTCATTGTGGTAGTCGCGGTTTGGGACACCAAGTTGCTACAGATTCACTAGTGGTTATGGAAAAAGCTATGAAACGAGACAACATAATTGTCAATGACCGTCAACTGGCTTGTGCAAGGATTAATTCTGTTGAAGGTAAAATTCCTTTTTTTTACTAGATTGTTCATTTGTTCTATTGTTTTATAAGTTTATTGTGAAGTCAGTTATTTATTCTCTTCCGTTTCTCAGCTTTTTAGGTCAAGATTACCTCAAGGGCATGGCGGCGGCTGCAAATTTCGCGTGGGTGAATCGATCTTGCATGACTTTCTGTGCAAGACAGGTAAAATTTTACCCTTTTTTGAGAAATTAAATCAGTTGTCTTTCAGATGTTCATACAAACCCTAGTTTGATTAAAGAACAATAAAAATGCATGCCGAGAAAAAAAATTGATAAAAATTGTAAGATTTCAATGCAGGCCTTTGCAAAAGTGTTCAACACCTCGCCGGATGATCTCGACATGCATGTGATATATGATGTCAGCCACAATATTGCCAAAATAGAGGAGCATCTTGTGGACGGGAGACCAAAACAGTTGTGTGTGCATAGGAAGGGCTCAACACGTGCTTTCCCTCCTCACCATCCTCTCATCCCCGTAGATTATCAACTTACAGGTCTTTTTTCCTCACATTACTTTAATGATTTTATATTGAAAATAACAATTGGCATTCAGTGATGCAGAGTGAAGAAGCTCTTCGAACTTGTCAGTAAAGAAATGGCTCCATACTTTTTTTTCGCTCTGAACTGCAAGCCATTTGTTTCTATTGGAGCTTTTAAACTTCTTTTGTATGCCTCTTAACAAATACAAATTTGATTAAAAATTCGATATGCAAATTCGCCAGCAGTCTGAGCTCGAAAATCAGTTTTGTGCACTTAATTAAAGGAAAAATTTTCCGCAGCTCTTATGTTTGACAGAAAAAGGGATAGCGTTTAATTTCATGTCTCTCTAGTAATTTCAAACTAAATAAAAGCCATTGTACTAAATAAAAGGAAAAAATACTAAATAAAGGCGTAAAACTACTAAATAAAATCTAAAAGCCATTACTGCTCAAAAATTACGTTTTTTTTAAAGGACAACCAGTATTAATTGGTGGTACGATGGGTACGTGTAGTTACGTTTTGACAGGTACACAACAAGGGATGGACGAAACATTTGCTACTACTTGTCATGGAGCGGTAATCTTTCCTTCTGTGAAAGTAATAATAAAATAAGGTGTTGTTGTTTCCACTTAGATATAAAATTAGATGCAGAACATCTTTTTCCTTATGTCTTTTAATTTAGTGTGGTAACCAGCGAAGTGATTTTAATGAAATGTACACATATTCCATATTTTTTTAAACGGGAATTATAGTCCTGCTACTTCAGGGTAGGTCTTTGTCACGTGCTAAATCAAGACGAAACATAGACTTTCAAGAAGTTTTGAACCAGATGCAAGCAATGGGTATATCGATTCGAGTAGCTTCTCCGAAACTGGTTATGGAAGAAGTAAGCTTACAATAAAGTAATGAATGAACACATTTACGGACTAACATGAGGGCCTACAGTCAACTGATTTTACCATCAGAGCTGTTCGGTCATTCACTGCACGTTTCCTGGTCATGCAATGTATTGAGACTCAATGTTCTAGCCAAAAAATCGTCCCGCTTAACTGGTCTTCTAGTCAGATGTTAGTTGTACATTAAATCAGAAAAGTCGTTCTGAAATCAGCTGATTTCAAGAAGGATTTACATTAAATGAAAGGAAGCAGCTGTGTGAGTTATATTCCACTGTGACTGGTTCAAATAAAAACAATTGGACCAAACTTGACGATTTCAGGCGCCGGAATCGTACAAAAATGTGACGGATGTAGTGAATACTTGTCATGAAGCTGGTATCAGCAAAAAAACCGTCAAATTACGCCCGATTGCTGTGATCAAAGGATAGAAAGCCTAATTTCTTCTGTTGTTGTTTGTGTGTTACTTTTTCACCACTGTTTCACTCTGCAGTTGGGACTTTCAACTTTGCTTTTTGTCCTGGTAGTTACTTTTACGAGTTGAAAAAAACCACATATATATATACACGGAATTTTAATTATTAACATGATAAAGCGTTGCCTACTGCTGAATTTCTTCTGAATCGTCTGTCAAAGAATACAGCTATAGTGATGGTTTTTGTTCTAGCTACTTTTTTTAGTTGAAAATATCCAAATAAAAAAACACACAAAAGTTAAGAAAAATAAAAGAAATTAAAACATATGCAAATCTCATGTGTGACATTTATTGGTGAGCATTTCATGTGACAGTTTTATACAGTTGCGACAGCTATTAATGAGACTTTCTCATTACGATTCTGTTTTTATTTTCAATGTTTTTTATTACTATTACAAACTGTTCTGTTCCGAATTCCTTTGCAGCCAGAGTTTGGGGTCGCATCCACCCGAATTTTCATTTTGACAGTTATTTAAAAAAATCATCAGCTCTCAACTCTACCTTTTTCTTCTCACGCTGTGGAGAAACATGATAAAGCAGAAATGGGAGAGCTTTCTCATGACTGGAAAGAATTTCTGAAGTGAGGTCGGAGTTAGTACGGGGGAGGAGGATATAGGAAAAGTAGTGGAAATAAGTTTCTTGTGAAATGATGTTTGGCTTAGTTGCAGAACAGTTTCAGCTTTCTAAAATATTATACAGATCGTATGTTGGATGGCTTAATGGCTGATAAGTGCTAATAAAAGCTTTACGTATCTTAAAAGTAAAGCTGGAGACGTGTATGAAACACTTGAAGTCTCACTACCTTATGTGTCTCATTCATATCTAGACCTGTCTAGCATATCTCCTGAACTGCAGAAGTGCGAGGTCTCAGAATGCGTTAGAGTGCGTTGAAGTGCGAAATCGCTTACATCTCTCGAGGTCTACCCTTAGCGCCGCATTTTGCCCTTTGTAAAGAGATTGAAAGTGGTAATCTAATCCAACAAGCTCCTTATTCTTTAAATAATTATCGATATCTCAGAAGGACAAGACAGCTTCACTCCCAGTCAACTGGGAGAGAGGAGAAAGGGGAGGAGGAAGTAAGCAGTACTTTTTCCTCTGGAGTTTAGCTCTTCGCTCTTTCACATAATCGAATTTGCCTCTCTGTATATTATTGCATGTTTGCATTTGCATATTTGCGTGCATCTTCCTTGTACTCTACAGTAGTACTGTTTTAGGAAAGTCATGTAGTAGTAGAGATGGATGGATGGGTGTAACATAACATTTATATGGTTGTATAGTACAGTGTGACATTGGGGGAGCGCGGGAGGGGTAAAAGGGATAGATAGATGACAAGAACGCCACCATAAAAGGTACAAGTGTTAGGGAGAGAAAAGGGAGTGTAAGTGATACCTACCTAGAATTGAATTGTCTGGAGAGTGATGCAGTGCACACTTGGCTGTGCACTTTGCTCTTCCCGAGAGCCATTCTTCAGGTACCATTCCGACAAAGGCCTTTTTTAGAATTCCTACTTATATTAGTTATAGATCAGACCCTTTACGTTAAGTCGTGTGTGTGCATGTATATATACATATATATATATATATATATATATATATGATACACTTAATTCGTGGTAAGGCGGAAGGTCAATTAGTATTAAATGTTCGTTTTAAGAGGGTTACCTTTTGTCCACATTATCTGTTTTTTTTAAAGTATGGTAAATAATCAGTGGAGTTATAGTCTACATAGGGGGTGAGATCAAAGTGCAATTAATAGTAACAACTCAGGAAATGGGTGCTTTAACATTGGTTAGTAACTGTAATCTTCATTATTTTGCTGTACTACAATGGTACATTATTTCGTTATTTCGTTGATATTCTTAAACACATGAATCTGAGCGGTGTTTTTTTTTTTTTTTTAATTGTTACTTTAAAATGGGAACTATTAGTCAGCACTTTAGTTTAATTTACATTCAAAAAAAAAAAAAAAAATCAATTTAGAACTCCCAAGTAATGCAAGTCTAACCATCGTAACAACGAAAGTGTCGATTATTTATGGATTCAAAAATCAAATTTAGGATTGAGGTCCATGATGCAAGCGTATCCCATAATTCAGTGGACTTGTGCAGCATTAATTCACATCACTATTAGGCATTATCTTCCTGCACGATTTCTCGTAAAGTTTTGTCGTTTGCAGGGTGGAAGCGGTGACGAGTGGAATTATATTCGGGAGCTGAGCAATGTTACTATGAATAGATGTGATGAAGATGGTAATCAAGAAGGCAGTGGGCAAGTCCCAGTACCTTTAACGACATGCGATCTCAACACAGCTTCCACTCCTACTACAGTTTCATCCGCAGTTTCGCTTCAGGTTATCTTTTTCTCATTCACTGCTATAATTGTATGGTTGGTTCAGGCCTTAATGTATCACACTTTTGATGCTGTTGCGATGCATTCTCTGGCTAAACATATAAGTCTCTTACCATCTAGAACTGCTCACCTCATTCTGTGGTTTTTGATTTCTATCTCATTTTCATCATACGCTATCAAAGATCGATATGAACGTGCTCTGTATTTTCTCGAGATTTCCAATACAAAGATTGCAGGTTGTCCGCACCTCTTGACATCTTCCAGAAACTTCCACGGAGATTTTTAGGGAGGCACATTTAATTTCAAATCATACTTAGTTTTCTTATTTCAGTTTCTTTCAACACCCAGTGCTGTAATGGATGAGCCAAAGGAAAGCGGTCACTGTCATGTTTGCAATAAAATGCAACCATATTCTGCTTTCGTTATGCTGCCATGTAAACACGGGTGGGACAAATTCTTTTAAAAACATTATTTATTTGAATACATCCGGTCCTTCCTTTATCCAAAGTGTTAAGCCGAAAACGACTTATTTATTAGTTTTATGAATGGTATAAGTTCCTCTGTTCTATATAGAAATCTTATGTGACCGTGTTCTTTAAGCCAGCATATTCTCCAAGCCTTTCAGCTTTGTCAAGTTCAATAATCGATAGATAAGGCTGAAAGCATAAATTACAAGCACGTAATCAATTTCTTCGAGGCATACATAATGTTTTATCCAAGTGTTTCACCTTTTCGATTTCAACTGAAACCTATAATCGCAAGGGTTTTAATAATTAATTAAAGATAATGAAAATTAGATTTTAGATTAAACCGGCTAGCAAGTTTTGTGGAAAGAATGTCTAAAAATGTCGAGTTTGCTTGGTCTTATTTGCCTCACCACGAGTTGTAATGTTCAAATTATTTAAGTTTTTCCTGAATTCTTCAAAAACAGTTGCTGAATGCATGTATATAATTTTCAGATTCTGCAATCAATGTACATCAATTATCAGTCAAACCCAACTGTGTCCGTTGTGCTTGAGTAGTGCAGCAGTTGGAGGACTTCAGTCTTCGTTAAGTAGCATCACTGCCAGTCCAAGTCCGCTTTTTCCAGGAACTTCATCACATTCCGGAGATGTTACTGCCACAAATCTTTCGCTCGATTCTTCTTTCTCAATATGGGATCCTCTTTCACCGAAATCGCTTATCAAGCACGAATTACAACGCTCAATGGTTTGTTGTTGATTTCACAAGCTGAGATAGTGGAATTCAAAAGACTTGCCAGAGTTTTTAGACTGTATTACTAATAAATGATTGAAATAATTAATGGTTGAAATGTGTTTCTACTGTAGTCCTCCTCATGATATTTCTAACATATAGTTGAAATATCATCTAGAGAATTAGAGCAGAAACATCTTTCAACCACTAGTTGACTTTTTACGTTGCTGAAGAATTTAAAACATGTAGCCGGAGTTTTATAGAATTATTAATTTGAACTTTGGAAATTCTTTTGCGAAAACCCAGCGTGATATGTTTTGAACAGACAACAGCTGTATAGAAATGAAAAGTAGATAGAATTACATGCAGGATTTTTAGGTACAGACATCTGTTCAGCAACGGACTAAATTGTTTCATTCTTCACAACAGTTGTCAGACACTTCGGCAACACATTCGCTGCTTGATCCATCTTTACTGGCCTTCCAAAGTGGTGCTGCAGCTGCTGCAGGATTATTTTCACTACCTCCCCAACCACTTACTACTACCTCAACAATAAATTGGCATACCGTTCCAAGTGCTGAAATCCAGCAGACGTTCAGTGTTAAGTATCCCAAATGCACTATGTGCGCCGAGGGGAGCAATTTTATGAATTTTAGGGTGTTCTAAAAGCTATCTATGCTTGTATGCATGCTTCCTGTGATTAGTTTCTGAATATTTATTTATCTGCCTTATTGGTTCACCTGTAATGAAAAATATATTCATCAATGGCTTTTTTTTGAAACATGATTTATGAGAATTTGTCTGTAAAGGATTTTTTGCAACGAAAGTGTTACGTTTTAGGATAATGCGGTAGCAACTGTACGTTGCATGCAATGTGATGAGACGTTGTGTAATGAATGCGTTGTTGCACATTATCGCATGCGAGTTACTCGTGAACACAAAGTGGTGCGTATTGAGGCTTTCAAAGGATTGCCGCTATCTCAAGTAATATTTAAAGTTGTCGTTTAAACTCTACTCATTAGACGTATACCAAGAATCGAAAACTAAATTTTTCTAAGGTTTATAAAGTCCTCTTTATTGTTTTCGACATACCAGCATTATTGATTCATTAAAACAAATTTATTGTTGACTGAAAGTTTAAGAATGGTGGATCGACTTTTTTTTTGTTAATTGAAAGTTTAAGAATGACAGATGTTTAAGAGTGACAGATCTCTTTCATTTTATTCACATAAAAGTACTCAATTATAGTTGTATACGACAAGAGAACCAATTAAATTCGAAAATTTACTTGAAACAGAAACATGCAACACTCATGATTCACCGGTAATTTGTACTTGTATAACATGTGGAAGTGCATCACTTTGCAATATATGCATTACGGATCACTCGAAACACCAACTTGTACCTTACGGCGAACTGAGAACATCGTTGCTGACGTTGATTGCGAGCTCAAAGCATGACCAAAAAAATCTAGAAGATGCGTTGGAAACTGTACGTCGAATGTTAGAAAGGGTGGATGCTTCTGTACAGGTCATGATCATTCGAAATATGAAGGTTTAAATCTAATAGACTTAAACAAATATAATTTATGTTGAACGCAACCCAATTTTTAACATGAATGTACACAAGGACTTGTTTTATGTCAGTAAGTTCTTATCAGAGCAAAATAATGCAACATCACGTTAGAGGTATTTCGAGTAACTATAATTTAAATCTTCTGGATGAGAAAAACTCTTCAGTCAGCTATTCGTGAACTACGATCAGCGATACACTTACATATCAGTGCGCTGGAAGAAAGAAAGCGCGATTTATTGCAGCGCGTTGATACCATTCGCCAGACTAAAATCAGCACATTGAAAGCCCAGGGAGAACGACTCGGACAGCGTCATACAGTTTTAACTGAAGCTCTGAAAGTAGAATTTTTATGATTTTCAATATTTTTTTTCCTTGTTCTAGAATGAGATTAGAATAAATGTTGCCCTGTCGTTAGGTTGTTAAGCGAGGTAAGCGATTCGCCGTATATTATTTAGGATGTTCTTGTTTTGGATCCTCCTTTTAGAGGGTTGAAGAAGTGAAGTTATGTTAAACTATTTAATTTAGAACTATATTTTGTTACTTTGCGGTGGAATTCGTGCTTCTCCTACTGGCGAAAATCAGCAAGTCACAAGTCGTCAAGTCATTATTCGAAATTAGGTTGTGTTATTTTCTTTTTAAATCTTTTTAGGCAGCAGAAATTGTAACAGCAGTCGGTGAAGGAATGGAAATCCAACAACGCAGTTCATTTGATGCACTGCTTAGTATTTTGCGGGAACCATGTTTGTATCTTGTACCAAATGAAACTGACTTGATCAAATTTATACCACCCGACAATACTTTTATTTCAAAGTTCGACTTGTGTAGTATCTTTGTTTTTGCTTAAATTTATATTTGGATGAATTTATACTTTTTCTTAAATTTATATTTTTTTTTATCACGAAAAACATATTTATCCCACAGAAGTTTGTTACACTCGACAACTTCCTCGAAACTTCTGTGACACATTCTATAAAGTTTTGGTCATAGATTGATTTTAGCTAATTCACTTTTAATAATTTCTAGATTGCGTTCTTTGGGAGAGCTAGAAAGCGGTGCTTGCGCACGAACAACACACATTATTGGTGAAGGATATAAGCGTGCCATTCGTGATCGGCTCTGTACCATTTTAGTACAAACTCGTGACGCCTGCGGCGATGCTTGTACATCAACAAGCCATCAGGTGTCTGCTTCGTTGCTTAGCCCCGAGGGTCGTGCCCTAGACATACGCATTGCGTAAGTTTTAATTTTGTAAGTTTTAAATTTGTTTAAACCAGTGTCCTTTTGGAAAATTAGTTTTAGGTTATAGGAAAGGGAACTTCGAAATGAAAATAACCATTAAATATTCGGTGTCTGTCTGACTTCCCAGTTCCTCATTAAACTATATTACAGTGAACAAGATGGAGGTATTTACTCGTTGACTTATTTTCCAATCGATGAAGGCAATCACTTTTTGGATATCAAAATTCGAGGTGTTTCTATTTGGTGCGTTCAGATTTTGTGTCAGCTAATCATGTTTTGTATAAAGTATTTATTTTTTAGAATAAGTAGTCTCACCTTTGTTTGCTGACTGCAGGGAAAGATTTCATGGTACCAAATCACTTCGTTTCTGTAATTGGCAAAACCTGTTCATCTTCAATTTCAGTGGGTGTCCCACGGTAATCTATGCACGAAAAGGTCGGAATTATGGAACAATTGCTCGGACAGGACCATTATTCTCGTTCGGTTCAGAAGGTAGTGCTGATGGACAATTTTGTCGACCATGGGGAATTTGTTGCGATAATAAAGGGCGCATTATTGTAGCAGACAGAAGCAACAACCGTGTACAGGTAATGAAATTGCAAATCAATAGAATTGTCGAGCAATTAGATACAAATATATATATATATATATATATATATAATATACTATTTGTGTATTTTACTTTCTTATACG